CGACTCCGGAACCTCGTAACGGAGCCAGAAAGGGAACGAAGTCCCAAACCTGAACGTGGACGGATCCATTTCCGAGGCATAATCCGGGTCACGCAGGAGGTAAGCTGCAAAGGCCGCTCGCACCACACCAGGTTGGATGCGATAAGCCGAAAACCTCCGGAAGGACGGAACCGACGTACCCGGGGGAACACGGAACCGAACCCGGGGAGGGGCCGACACCAAATCCAACTCGTACGCAGAGGGGGGAAAAGAAAACCCCACTCCTTGTAACAATAAGCCCCGCTCAGTGGGAAGAAAAACCCAGGCGGGGTCCAGCGGGGCCCAAGGCCCCCAAGTCAGCCCCTCCCCAGCCTCGAGGTCCGTCACCACAGGACCCGAGGCCGAGTCCTCTCCCCAAGCCCCGACCCCACAAGACAAGGACGGAGCAGCCGGAAAAGCTGGAGGAAGGGGGCCCACTGGTCAGACCCTGAAGCTTCGGCCGGGAGACAAGACTCGAATGCCTCTGCCGCCCCCCCGGAAGGGGCAACCCCCGAAGCTGCCCGAGTCTCGAGATCAAGTAACCCCTGCTCCGACCCCGAAACCCTCAGACGCTTCGGGGCCGGAAGCAGGGGCGGGGGACCAGAACGAACAGAAGGGGAAGGACGAGGAGGTGCGGACTGAACCAGGATCGAAGCGACCCCCACCCCCAAGTCCGGGTCTCGAAAAGCAAAGCGGGGCAGCCCCGGGGCATCCGGGGAAGCAACCAACCGAGCGCGTTGCAACAGACGAAACCTAGACTGCAACGCACGTGCCACCTGTACCCGAATAGAATCATCAGAGGATTGGGTAAATTGAGTCACAAGCAAGCAGCAACACTCACAGGACTCAGGGTCGAAAGTATCACCGACCCAACAGGCAGCGTGGCAGAGGCAAAAACAATGAGGGTCACCCTGAGACAAGGGGACCGAGCAACCCTCAAACTCGCACACAGCGAGTGGGGACTCCGGGGTCACATCCATCGGACCCACGCGCCCCCTAGGGGATTCCCAGGGTCCTGAGCGTTTACTTTAAGAGAACTTGCGCTCAGGTAGTCCCAGGCAGGGTGCTGCAAACCGGCGCCCAAAACTACCAAGCAAACTTCTAAAGCTGAACCCCAGGGACGTGTACACTCACGGGGACCTAGCAGGGGGCGCCACCGAGGAGAACAGTGGAAGGGCAAAAACAAACTGAATAAAATGACAGAACCCCCCACCAGGCAAAAAGAAAAAGAAAAACAAAACCCCGCAAGAGGACAGCGAACCCCAAGGAACAGAGCCGGCCGCGATGTCGGGAAATACAAGCTGAGCAGCACCCTGCGCCCCTACCAGTGCAAACTGCCTCTTACCTGCCGGTAACAAGGGAGAACAGAACACCCAAGAGCCCAACAGGCGGCCGAAAAACCGAAAGGTAAAACGGACCAGCAGAGGCAGACCCCGAGGAGCCTGTGGAAGGTGGCCCCAAGCCCCAAGGGCAGTACTTACAGGGCACCTAGGGAAGGCAGCCCTAGGCGCATGCAGCCCGAGTACTGAAGATAACTCCTAGCTCTCGCACCCACAAAACTAACACCACACGCAAAGCACAGTGCAGTAGCGACACCGGAGCCAGAGCACATGACCATCGCCTATAGCATCAGCCTCAAGAACTGAGGTGTGGGTAGCCAGCGCGGGGGGTCTGGGGCTCCCCCTTCCCCCTCCCGGGGAGGGGGGAGCTGCGCAGACAGCGGCGCGGCAGTGTGTGACGTCACACTAGTTTGCTTGTTTTCGGTTGGGGAGTTCTATCCACTAGTTCGGTTTTTGGTAGCAATTTTAACCAGAATAGGGGTTTGTTTTGGGGCGCTTACCTTTCTGGGTGCCTGTTCCGGTCGATGGCAGACATAGAATGCTTCCAACTACACGGGGGCTTCTATAGGCCATTGCTCCCCTTGCCTCTCTGAGGGGGCCCGGTTCTGGCCGTGGTCCCCGGTAGGCCTAAGAACTCCATACACATGACTGATGCCAAAGTCTGACATTAGCATATCAGCCTGGGATAGCTCCGGGGAGCCGACGGGGCTCCCCCCAGAAAAAGTAATAAATATTGTTTGGCATTCGTACTCAAATATGTGAAAATTGTAGGTCAATGTATGTTGGAATGAAGTCAAGAAAAAATACCCCCCCCACCCAAAAAAAATAAGGATAATTATAATTATTTAAGGGATAAAAATGTATACTTTATATTAATGAAAATGTCCTAATCTGGTCCCTAATCATCAAAACAACCTTAACCACTGCACTGCGCAAAGCGCCTTTAGGCGCTCAGAGAGTTGTGCTTTTTGTTTTTTAATTTGGCTATATTTTAATGTTTTTTAATGTTTTCATTACTATTTGTGTTTTGAAATGGAAATAGTTGACTTTGGAAACATTTTGACATTAAATTTACCTGAACATTTGTAAAAATAACAAAAATATGTCCTTGTCAATTGCACCAAGACGTTTTTGCCGAAAATAGGTGAGCAGTGCAAGGGTTAAGAGATGAAGAAAATAGAGTTTGAAATTTGTGAAAAAATCTGCCCAAAAAAATTTGAAGTCCCAAGTTGTGCCAGTTATGACTATCTTCACATAATTAGGAGTGGGTATGCACTCTCCAGGATGTACAGGTTACAATAAGATCACATATTAAACAAAGAAGAGGAAAAAATCTCCCCTAAAAAAAAAAAAAAATTGTGGACATTGGTGAAAGTAATAGATATTACCACTGGACAATGTATTTGTATGATATATAACAAAATAGAGCATAATAACATACTTACATATTCATTATTATTGGTGTTATTATGTATTACTCAGCAATGTTATAAAGGCACCAGCTGCATATCCACTTTGTGGGCACTTCTAATTACTACTACTATTCTTTGTGCATCAGACAGGTGCTTGCATCTCTTTATTACTGCATTATCTCAAAGTTCCAGTTAATAGGAGCTGTTCTCCTTATTAACAAAACGTTCTTCTTTATAAAAAAAATTGTCTAAAATCCATTTCTGAAAATATTGGGATGAAACATTCACGACGTTGAAGCCAATAAGTTGGAGATTTGTTTAACATTTAATATCAATTTTTACATAATTCAAATATATTTTTTGCCCAACCCCAGCTTATACCCCCATTTACAGCCCAGGCTGTAGCAGTGCAAGGGTTAAAGCACTGTACTGACAATAACTTTACAATTAAAAATATATCCACAGAAAGTAACACACAAAAAAAAAATTTACTTCACACAAATCAATAGCAAAAATTTGCAAAATATTTATTTAGCTCATAAAACCCAAATATGCCAACTAATGGACATCACACTCAACACCAGAAACACCTGTGCTGTTAAGCTCTACACACACACACACACACACACACACACACACACACACACACACACACACACACACACACACACACACATCTATCTGGACCTAAAAAAGGCTTTCGACAGAGTTCCACATAAGAGGTTGTTCTGGAAACTGGAAAATATTGGAGGGGTGACAGGTAAGCTTCTATCATGGATGAAAAATTTTCTGACTGATAGAAAAATGAGGGCAGTAATCAGAGGCAATGTATCGGAATGGAGAAATGTCACAAGTGGAGTACCACAGGGTTCAGTTCTTGCACCAGTGATGTTTATTGTGTACATAAATGATCTACCAGTTGGTATACAGAATTATATGAACATGTTTGCTGATGATGCTAAGATAATAGGAAGGATAAGAAATTTAGATGATTGTCATGCCCTTCAAGAAGACCTGGACAAAATAAGTATATGGAGCACCACTTGGCAAATGGAATTTAATGTTAATAAATGTCATGTTATGGAATGTGGAATAGGAGAACATAGACCCCACACAACCTATATATTATGTGAGAAATCTTTAAAGAATTCTGATAAAGAAAGAGATCTAGGAGTGGTTCTAGATAGAAAACTATCACCTGAGGACCACATTAAGAATATTGTGCAAGGAGCCTATGCAATGCTTTCTAACTTCAGAATTGCATTTAAATACATGGATGGCGATATACTAAAGAAATTGTTCATGACTTTTGTTAGGCCAAAGCTAGAATATGCAGCTGTTGTGTGGTGCCCATATCTTAAGAAGCACATCAACAAACTGGAAAAGGTGCAAAGACATGCTACTAAGTGGCTCCCAGAACTGAAGGGCAAGAGCTACGAGGAGAGGTTAGAAGCATTAAATATGCCAAAACTAGAAGACAGAAGAAAAAGAGGTGATATGATCACTACGTACAAAATAGTAACAGGAATTGATAAAATCGACAGGGAAGACTTCCTGAGACCTGGAACTTCAAGAACAAGAGGCCATAGATTTAAACTAGCTAAACACAGATGCCGAAGAAATATAAGAAAATTCACCTTCGCAAATAGAGTGGTAGACGGTTGGAACAAGTTAAGTGAGAAGGTGGTGGAGGCCAAGACCGTCAGTAGTTTCAAAGCGTTATATGACAAAGAGTGCTGGGAAGACGGGACACCACGAGCGTAGCTCTCATCCTGTAACTACACTTAGGTAATTACACTTAGGTAATTACACACCAGGGCAACCGGTGGCACACACACCAGGGCACCGGTGGTTGTATGGATAGCACGCTGGATACGTTATCCTGTGGCCCGGGTTCGATTCCCGGTGCCAGTGAGAAACGATGGGCAGTTTCTTTCACCCTAATGCCCCTGTTACCTAGCAGTAAATAGGTACCTGGGAGTTATTCAGCTGTCACAGGCTGCTTCCTGGGGTGTGTGTGTGTGGTGTGGGGGAAAAAAAAATAGTAGTTAGTAACAGTTGATTGATAGTTAAGGGGTGGGCTGAAAGAGCAGAGCTCAACCCCCGCAAGCACAACTAGGTGAATACACACAGCTTAATCTTTAAAAACATATATAAATAATGCAAAAGCTTACACCCATTCTAAAAATCTTTCCACCACCACCACTGGGTATTACAGTACAGTTTTAACCTTTGGTGAGACCAGCAAAGTCCATCTGTAAGAGAAAATCTTCCAGAGAATCCTTGACTTCAGGGCAGATCATGTTGGTTGTTGTGGTGGTGGTGGTGGAGTTGCAGTTTACCACATTGGACTCTGGGAAGAAATTCTTAATTATGGTATCTGTGCATGGGGGTCTACCACTGCAAACCACCTTAAGCCCATCATCACACAGCAAAAATCTGCTATCAGAATGATAACTAACTCAGCTTTCAGACAACACTCAGCTCCCTTGTTTAAATCCCTAAACTTGCTAAATATTAACTCCCTCCACACATTCTCTTGTGTCAACTACATTTACAAAACCCTGTTCTTAAATGCAAACCATGCTCTGAAACTCTCCCTGGACAGATGTAATAGGACCCATTATCACCACACCAGAAATAAATATCTCTTTGATATCCCCAGGGTCAAACTTAATCTGTGTAAACACTCTATGCAAATTAAGGGACCTAGTTTATGGAACTCACTCCCTAGTGAATTGAAAAACTGTAAAACTTTTGCCTTATTTAAAAGCAAAACCAACAAGTACCTAACTTCATCTTCTTAGTTTCCTACACTGAGCTTTAAATTTGCTCTGTACCTAGTGTTACCCAATCTCCTAATTTTTATGTAATTTCAAACAACCTTATCATTGTGTTCATTGCTGTCTTCTTTTATGTGCTAGCCATATGCTGTATTGTGACTACCAATTTTTGTCAACTACCATTCAAGCTGTCATTGCAACCAATCTTATATTGTTTCTGCTGTATTATGCCTACCAATTTTTTGTCAACTACCATTCAAGCTGTCATTGCAATCAATCTTAGCTACCTATGTGCTTTAATATACTGTACCTACAATTTTCTCTCATCTTTTTTTCATTTCATGCAATCTGTTATCATTTTTTGTCTATAATTTTGCAAGTATTTACCTCCTTAAAATTTTCTTAGATTAAGGACCTGCCCGAAACGCTGCGCGTGCTAGTGGCTTTACAAGACTGTAATTACCATATTTGTATCCTCACATTCCTTATGTACATTCTTGTATATGCATAAATAAATAAATAAATAAATAAATAAATAAAATTTATTTTTTATTCATATTACAATGTATTTAGGACAAACAATCATCTGAGGAGGAAAGCATTTCCCAGTTGAACTACATTCATCGTTCAGTCTTTGCCAAATTTACATATGTAACATTGCAATTAAATGCATACACAAATATGTACAGCACTGGACACTGCAAAATCTCAATCTCTAATGTGCATGCTAGCCTTTGTATAGTTGTGCATAGAAGTAAACATTAGTAGCAAGACAAATTTTACATTAACCCTTAAACCGCTAACTGTTAAATAGCCGACATCCCCAGGGTGCTCAAGAAAAAAAATTGTTCTGAAAAATAATTTTTTCTTGTGACAGTGTTAATTAGCCTTCAGGAGGCACAAATATCTAAATAAAAAGTCTCTAGCTCCTGTGGTTTACCTGTAGTGGCCTGGAGAAGTTGCATATTTTTAGTTGAGGTGCCACCAAGGAATAACTTTGTTGATTCATTTTTATTGTTTCTCACTTTATTTATTTGTTTTCATGCTAACAAGAGTGTATTTGTGTGTCACAGTTACTGCCTACTATGTAAAACTGAAAATATAAGTACATATATGTATGGATATACGAGTACAGTATAGATATACAGACACCCACATACTAATAATAATACATGTATATACCTGCATATATTATAGGCCTAAATCTTAAAATTGCATTTAGCACACATTTTGCCTCAAATATATCCTTGGTAATCACTCATTTGCTGTTGCTAAAAGTTTAGTGTCTCCTCTATGACTGCCCTAAATATTCAGACACTGGATGGTGATATTGCCAAGCATTGGTCATCATTTTCTTACAAAGGCCCCTAGAAGGAATGTGAGGGACTCTAGATTTTTTTTGTCAAGATGAGGGATGGTTACTGGTGGTCTGAGGAAGCAAATGTGAGCTCTATGTATGTGCAGGACTATTTTAACTACAGTATTTTAAATATGCAAATCATATATATATGATTTGCACCATTTAAGGGTTAATGCATTTTGATCCAAAACTTAATTATATGAGACTATTCAAGACTGTGATATGTATATAAATATATAGAGTGACTGCAATAGTACCAATGATTTATTTATTTATTTATTCATTCATTTACTTATTTATTGGCAGGCTAATTCCTGCATGGGCCCTAAAACCTCTGGCTGGCCCACTAACACGACTAAATGATTGCTTACAGCAATGACTGGCAACTGGGTACTGATAAATTTGTTAGTTCCAATGCACAGTACAGTGCAAGGTTAGACCTGTTTCTTATTTGGAGAGGGTCCTGAGAGTTCTTGTACTCCCTGAGCCCAGGCTTGACTTGTGATAACTTGGTCCAACAGACTGTTGCTTGCAGCTGGTCATAGACCCACATATCCATTACAGCCTGGTTGGTCCAATACTTCTTGCAAGAACTTATCTAATTGGTTCTTGAAGAAGTTTACCTTTGTTCATGTACTATTTCTAATGCTTGCTCAGAGAGTAGTGAACAGCTGTGGACCTCTGATGTTCAGACAGTGTTCTCTGATTGTGCCTATAGCACCTGTACTCCTCACTGGTTTTATTCTGCATTTCCTTCATGTATAAATTATTTGATACCCCCTTTCATCTCCTTTCCAGAGAGTGCATCTTGAGAGCTTTGAGAATGTCCCATTAGTTTAGGTGGTTTATCATGTCTATGCATGTGGTATATGTTCTCTGTATTCCCTCTATTTCAGAAATCTGTCCCACTCTGAAAGGGAAAGTGAGTACTGAGCGAGTACTCAAGACGGGACAGCAGCAGTGATTTAAAAAGTATTAGCATTGCTGTGGGGTTCCTGGATTTGAACATTCTCATAATCCATCCTTTCATTTTCCTGGCTACTGCTACATTTGCTCGGTTATGTTAATTATAAGTCAGGTCGTTAGACATCATAATTCCCAGATCTTTTACATGATGCTTTCCTTGTATGATTAAGTGTGACTGTGTCTTGTAATTACCTAAGTGTTATTACCCAAGTGTAGTTACAGGATGAGAGCTACGCTTGTGGTGTCCCGTCTTCCCAACACTCTGTCATCTAACACTTTGAAATTACTGTACTGACGGTTTTGGCCTCCACCACCTTCTCACCTAACTTGTTCCAACCGTCTACCACTCTGTTTACAAAAGTGAATTTTCTTATATTTCTCCGGCAGCTTTGTTTCGTTAGTTTAATTCTATGACCTTTTGTTCTTTAAGTTCCGGGTCTCAGGAATTCTTCCCTACCAATTTTATCGATTCCTGTTACTATTTTGTACATAGAAAAAGAGGAGATATGATCACTATCTTCTAGTTTTTGCATATTTAATGCCTTTAACCTTTCCTCGTAGCTCTTGTCCTTCAGTTCTGGGAGCAATAAAGTGGCATGTCTTTGCACCTTTTCCAGTTTGTTGATGTGCTTCTTCAGATATGGGCATCATACAACCGCTGCATATTCCAGCTTAGGTCTAACAAGTCGTGAACAATTTCTTTAATATATCTCCATGTATTTAAAAGCAATTCTGAAGTTAGAAAGTGTAGCATAGGCTCCTCGCACAGTGTTCTTAATGTGGTCCTCAGGTGACAGTTTTCTATCTAGAGCCACCCCTAGATCTCTTTCTTTGTCAGAATTCTTTAAAGATTTCTCACATAATTTATAGGTTGTGTGAGGTCTATGTTCTCCAATTCCACATTCCAAAATATGGCATTTATTCACATTAAATTCCATTTGCCAAGTGGTGCTCCATATACAGTTCTTATTTTGTCCAGGTCTTCTTGAAGGGCATGACAATCATCTAAGTTTCTTATCTTCCCTATTATCTTAGTATCATCAGCAAACATGTTCATATAATTCTGTATTCCATCTGGTAGATCATTTATGTAGACAATGAACTGTATTGTATCCTGCGACAATTGTATCCTGTGTTTCATTAAAAGTTCCTCGTTTCCACCATACCTAAGTACAGTACCTGGAACTTATCACTGTTAAACATCACCTTATTTTCTGTTGGCCTATAAAAGACTTTATTAATATGTTCAGGTCTTTGAGCGTCACCTTAAGACAGTCCTTGAATCATTTCTTTAGCCGCTCCCCCCCACCCCCCCACACACCCAATAATGCATGCCTTGACATAATTCTTCATACAGCAGCTGTTTTGGCAATTGTCTGTCAGGCCTTCTGACAACATGGCCAGTCCATCTGGCCATGTTTTTTGTTTTTTATGTAAATTATTATATGTAAATTATTATGCATTTCTCCCGCCTGCACTGAAGAGAGTACAGATTTAGGCTCTTTAGTCGGGTTCAGATGTTTTACTGAGTGGATTTTAGCAGTACTGTAAAGGATCTCTGCACGCTCTCCTGGTCAGCAATTTCTCCAGCTTTGAAAGGGGCTGTCATTGTGAAACAATATTCCACTCTAGAGAGCACTATCGTCTTGAAAAGTATCATCATCAGTATAGCATCTCTAGTGTGAAAGGTTCTTGTTATACAACCTGTCATTTTTCTTGCAGTTGTGACGGCTACTTTATTGGGTCCTTTAAAGATTAGGTTTTCCGACATGAATACACCCAAATCCTTTACATTGAATTTTTGTTCTATATTACGATTTGACTGCATTTTGTACATGGTTTCTGTTTTTATATTTTAATTTTTTTTTCTGTACCACATGAGCTGGAAATTATCTGTTATACACAATATTATTTTTTGTAGCCCATAGAAAGAGCTGATTTACATCTGATTGGAGGTTTGCCGTGTCCTCTACGTTGTCTACTCTCATAAAAATCCTAGTATCATCTGCAAAGGATGATACAGTACTATAGATTGTGTCCTTGTCTATGTCCAATATGAGGATGAGAAAATGTACTGGAGAAAGCACAATACCCTGGGGGACTGAGCTCTTCATGGTTGATGGACCAGATTTTATTTTGTTGACTATTACACATTGGATTCTATTAGTCAGGAAATTGTAGATCCATCTGCCTATTTTTCTGGTAATTCCTTTTGAACGCATTTTGTGCGCAATAACACCATGG